TAAGGTCGAATAATATTTGAAATTATCAACAGGTAATGAAAATGAGGATGTTTATGTTCATCTAAATAATTTATCCCCGCGACTCTGTTCGTTTGGAATAGTGACTTTCTGCAGATTTTTAGTATAAAAACTATCCCATGTCCTGTCTCGAGTTCCAAACTATGGCTATACCAAATTTCACAGAAATCGGTTCAGTAGTTAAGGCATGGAGAAAAGACAGATATTAATATATTTGCATTTATAATATTAGTTTGGATTAGGATGTTCAAAATACTATCCGGTCCATAAAGAAAGACATTTACTTATTAATTAATTAATAAAACTTGCACACAAAAATGTGTACTTACAAGTGAACTTAAGCCTTAAGACTGCTCAGCCGGGGTTGCGGGGTAAGCGCAATGAGGCACCGCGACGTCGGCCTAGAGCAGGAATAGGAACAGGGGGGTTTTTAGTCAGTAAGAGTCTGACACTCATTTGATGATTTTCCCCTCACAAAAAAAGCCTTAAGACTGTATCTCACAGTCGACCTTGCGGTGATCCGCATCCCCGGCCTGTAGCAGGAGAAAGAACGGATTGATTTTTAGTCAGTAAGAGTCTGACGCTGGCTTTTGTCGCAGCAAGGATGAGAACAGCCATAGATGATGTTTAAATGGGCATGCGACATAAGTGTTTTTTTTTATGTAATAGATCCGCAAACCACCAGGCGGATTACCTGATGGTAAGCAATCAGCGTTGCCCATGGACACCCGCAACGGAGGAGTTACGAGTGCGTTGCCGACCTTTTAGGGATTAGGGATTTGGAGATTTAGGGATTGAGAAGGGATTGGGGGCGGGGAAGGATTGGGCCTCCGGTAACCTCACTCACACGGCGAAACACAACGCTGTGGTTGTTTCACGTCGGTCTTCTGTGAGGCCGTGGTATCACTCCGGTCGAGCCGACCCATTCGTACTGTTACTTATTGACTTAGATACCTTGTATAAGCAAAACAATAAGTAAGTGAATCCAGAAAGCTTTACCCCATAAATTACCATAGATCGTAATCTTCATTACCTTTCCGAAATCCCGCAAGTGCTGACCACAACAGAAAAATTAAAATAAAATTAACGACGCCATAATTCGTAATTAAGTTGTCCCTATCATCCGGATGAGTTTCAAAAGTGAATTAATTTTAATTACGGCAATAATTACTGAAGCCATTTGTAAGAAATGAGTGTCAAGAATTATTTCATCTTAGGTCAGTAATTCTTCATTATGTCAAGGAATTGCTTACCTTGGGCGGTTTTTTTTTAGTTATTGTGATAATGAATTAAGTTTTTAAATAAAACTGCATGGATGCTGATAAAAATAAAAGTCAAAAACAGAATGATTAACAACATGGATTCATAAAAAATAAATTGTATTAATTTATGAATTTATTAAAATAACTACTTAAAAAAGTCACATATCTGGATAATACTTTTAGGATGTATGTGCGTTATTATCGTAATATTTTTAAAAAGGGACAGAAGAAATAAATTGTTTTTAAACATACAATTTGTGGATTAAAATCTAAGTAATGTTAAAATGTAAAAAAAATATTTATTCTTTTGTCACCTGCCACTCTCGTCTCTCAATCACCCAAAGGTCGACTGTTAGACAATGCCTAAGGCATTAAGTCCACCTTTACATGTTTTGTATAAAGTGTTAAAATAAATAAAATAATTATTTGATTGATTTACATTAGATTTAAATAATTAGAACCTTTTAATGGTAAAGTTTTTCGCAGGAGAAAATATGAAAACGAAAAATATTACTTACTCTGATATAGGTACTAAATAATAGATTTACAAAACTTGAAGATCTTTGTTAACAAAGCATCCTACATTATTAGTTATACGTCAACGTATTCACAATAATACCGTTATCCTTGACATATGCCAAATGCCAATACATAAATCAATCAAACCCATATTTTCGTACAAAACTTTAGTCCCAATAAAAACCATAACTTCGTTTGACAGCAGCTTACTAACAACACAAACAGGATTATGACCGCTTGTCCAAACGCCCATTTATCTGATAGATAAGACTAAACGAGGTACGCCCGTCAAAGTATTTCTAGTATGAAGGATTATTGTGGAGACAATTTATTGATTTATACAGATAGATAGTAGCTGTGACCCGCGGTTTCAACCGCTTAGTTTACAGCCTTTGTTCACTGGGGACGGTGTAGCTTCCCAACAGAGAAATATTTTTTTAATTCAATTTAAAATAATAAAAAAATTGGTACATTGTCATATTCCTCTTGAATGAATAGGATAGATGCATAATGTACATTCCTTTTACAACATTATTTTTTTTTATTGAAAATACTTAAATGAATTCCTAAGACGAAATAATTTATATTATTTTTGTTGAAAAATTGAATTTACAACTTAATTGTACTTGTACTTAAGTACTATTTTAACTTAAATTTCACACAGTAATAAGTCGACTTATTTAATGTAAATATTTTTCATATTACACTCCCGTCTAAGATTTTTTTACGTAATGACACCCTCGGGAGGGTAAGTTGTCCACTATATAGTTAAGTACAACCCTAAATATAAGGTTCGAAGCATCAAGTTCATGTTTTACTACAAGTTCGAAAGGTTTTTATTAAGTAAGTTGGTTGTGAGAAACGAAACGGAAATTATGTACCAAATATCATGACGTACCGATTCCTATATAAAAGACGCTTGTTTTTATATCTCGTTAAATATTTTAGGATAAGATTCACGTTTTATGTTGTAAGTATACACGTATCGGACTTTACAGTGTCTTAAAAATTCATGGTAAATTGGTTTCCTTGGTTCGAGAACATCGGTGTAACGATATTACGTTCATAAACAGTTCTGGCCTACCTTTGTACAAAAGACAGGTGTGGCATTAGAATACAGAAAATAATGTATAGATTGCTAGTTTATTGAATTGATGTGCATATCAATAGATTTTTTGAGGAGGTAAAATTATCAAATTGCTTCTCTCGCTCAGGGTGGGCCGGTGGGGTGCCTGGGTGTGTCTGACTCTTACTGACTAAAAACCACCTCTTACTTCTCCTGCTCTAGGTATCTATGGCTGATCAGTTCACATGGATGGTAATTGTATGGCGAAGTGGGAAAGAATGAAGACAAAGCCTTGACAAAAATCCGACGGATAAATACGAATCACTTTTATTATCGCTTAAGTATAAACATAATACAGATCTGATAACTTTCCAATACATATCAAACTTTAGGTGTACTCATAAATCACTAACATACTTGTTACATAAGTGGCAGGACCCAACATGGTGTATGTAAAAAAGCCATTTGCGTGCATTTATAAAAATTAGCGATTCCCTAACCGCCGAGGGTTGTCTCAAGTAGGCTCTACAGCAAAATTGGGCTGGGAAGGTTCTTTGCAAACACTTCAAAACCTTCCTAGAAGAGCTCTTTTCGTGACGTATTGAGGCAGGGGTGTAGCTATGGGATTTTTGATATAATGCCGAGACAATGGATGGGGATAAGAATGACGTCTTTCACGGCAAGTCTCTGATCTTTTTTAGTTTCGTCTTTTTTGATAGCAAACAGTTTTGTGTTAGGTTGGTTTTAAGAGCATTCTTGAGTTTAAGGTTTGAGTTGAATTCGTAGTCTTTTTTATTCAAGATATGACAATTCACACATTTTTCTTTATTCGACAAAATTAGGAATATACAGCAATAGAGAGCAACTATAACAGAAGGGAGAATTAAAAAAACATTGTTAATCGTTTAAATTATAGCTCTAATAGAAGTTCTGAGTTCTCCGTACAATATAAATGCCTACGTTTATATATGCAGGACTGTCCTTGTCACTGACAGATTTTGGTCATAAATTAGTATTCCGTAGATGTAGATAATAATGGATGAATCCTAGCCAACATTTGTTCTAAGGCTTTGTTCAGATGATTCTTATAATTATAATAACGTATACTTAATTATAATAACTTTAATAGTTACTTATTTACACAAAGGAAGCGTGCTTTATTGTACTTTTATAGAAATACTAGCTACTCTCGCGCGGTGTCACCCGCTGCTCGACTACATTAATTTAATCGTAGCCTGATGTTTTATAGCCCATACCACTCAGGAATATCATAGCATAGGTTCCAAACATTACCTGACAAACTTACAAATTTTACCTCTTTATTATATTAGTATAGATATGTATGATGTTTGTGATGTAAGTGGAGATGGTAATTGTTTTCAGATATTGTTTTCTTTTCGCAGGCTTTGTAAAAATCATTGGAAATTTTTCAAGTGTATTTTTAAGTTTAGGAAAATTATTTTGGTTCTAGTAATGGAGAAGAAGGAAAGCATCTTCAGTAATCTCACTCACACGACGAAACATAACCATCTGATTGTTTCACGTCGGCTTTCAGTGAGGGGGTGGTACACCATATACATTCGTGTCAAAGCATGGCTCTCGCACAGATGATTTGCATACTCTGTCATTATCACCGTATCTACATTTAGAAAGCAGATTGGAGATCACAAGTTAAAAGGTTCTCTAGTTTTGCTCCCTGCTTTCTGTCAATTATTTTCTGCGTTAAATAATACATCCATGGGAGGAATAGGTAAGTTCACAAATGTATACATTACACCTTTAAAAAATTTAATAGTCATCATCATTATCATCATCCTATAAGTGCCCACTGCTGAGCAAAGGCCTCATCTCACACGGAGGAGGCTTGAGCATTAATCACCACGCTTGCTCAAGGCGGATTGGTTCGAATTGATTTGAAACTTATAATTAGAAATTATAAGTCCAGGTTTTTTCACGATGTTTTCCTTCACCGTATGTCATTGGTGTCTTAATAATTACAGAAAGTACATACATAACTCGGAAAAAGTCACATCGGTACTTGCCAGGGTTCGAAACTTAACCCACCAGGCCACCACGCCACCAAAAAGGAAACCGAATAAAAAATGAATAAATAAAATATAATCAAAAATACTCACCGGTAATGTTGAGTACGACTCTTTCTCCGTGTGTTGCCACAATCCTCCATTCGCATCGTTCCGGGGTTGCTGGAGGCGTCTCACTGCCCCACCCGGGTGAATTGAACCACCCTGAGTTCCCCAACAGTGTTCTTCCGCATTCTGTTTACAATGTGCAGATAAAATTATAGGTAGTTAAACTACTATATAAGGTCAATTAAGAGTTTATTACTTTTTGAAAATAACGTCTTATTCACGTGACATAGCCGAGAACAGCTACTAGTTTTAAGTCTCGATGGGAATCCTACGCATGAGCAACGTGCGCATAACAGTGACGTGGCCCAGCCGACTGACTATTATTTGTCAGTTAAAATTAAATCACGTGAATAAGCTGTAATTTCAATAAATTAATAATGTAATGTTAAACATATAAAAGGTTTATTTAAATAACACTATGATGATTTTAATCACTCTATGTATTAAAAATACGTATCAAAATCTGATCCTTAGTTTGATTTAAAGCATATGCATATATAGAAACAGAGAGAGCGACTTTGTAGTGTTTCTGCAAAGAAACTATTAAAAAACTTCTTTAAATTTCTCAATTTCTGAACTTTATTTAGACTCTTGATTTAACCTCAATAAATATAACCTAACATTAAAAATATCGTGGTTCCTCCTAAATATAGCTGAAGTAATTGAATTGTAAATTAACAAAATCTATCTTAAATCAATACGAATAAAGCTGATATTCCAGAATTATTTGAACCAACAGTTCTAGGTCAATATAAATATTTCTCGCAATTGAAAGAGTACACTGACTTTTGCCTGTGGTTTTGCTTACTCAAATGTTGACATTTTGATTTAGGGTTCACTTTTAGTTTTGACAAAATATATTTGTATAGTGGTATTAGACATACCCTCGTATTACAAAATAAGGCTTTTTTAGTCTAGGTTTAAACCATTGAGTCATGTTTCGTATTTTGAATCTTATTCTCATCTACCTTCAATTTGAAATACAATAAGGGTTCCTAGTTTACTACGAAAAAAAAATGTCTCAATGGATTAGACTTAAGAAAAACCTTATTTTGTAATAAGGCCGATAAAGTTTAAGTTGAAATCTTTCTAACCTATGACCAAAATTTATAATCTCAATTCAATCAAGATACATTTTTGACATAAGTTCTAAGTATTTAATTTCTGTCAAAAACAAAACAAGATCGGTTCTTCAATTTTAGTATTCATCTTTTACGAATTCGGTTTTGGTATGGAGTTCGAATGAGATTACTAGCATTGTTCATTATAAAAAGACGTCTATTGCCATTTATTTTCTGTGCTGTTAGGTTGAGAAGTTAATAGTATCATTATTCACTGGTTAAGTTCTTATATAGCAATGTAAATATAAAATTATGTATAATACAAGAATAAATTGTCATATTCAACAAGCAACAAGGAAAAGCCCTAGTCTTCATCTGCGGGCCCCGTTAACAACGTTGGGTCGGGTAGATGTTAATTTTATCCATTCGACCCTTCCACTCAGTGTACACTCGGGTTTAAATCTAGTATGATAACTTTTTATGGAAAATGTAATGTTTATGTAGGCTAGTGTATAATTATTTTCCAGGTAGGAAACCCTGGTATAAATAATGTCCGGTATAATATATTTTTTCATTATAAAAGCAGTAGTGTCTCTATGTATTCCAACCGGAGACCTCGTGTGTTAGGTAAACACGCGCGACTTAGGAATCATAATGCCTTAACATCAAGTAAAAATAAACAGCCGAATGTCAAACACGTTAATTATACCCATGAGCTTGTTGTGGCCTAAAATTAGTCGAGTCGGATCGTCAAATAGTCAAGTACTATGAGCCGTAAGTTTTTTAATAGCAACTATCGTGAGACATTTTCAATTATTCAAAAGTACGACTTACTCACGTGACTTCACTGAGAAAGGCTCTTTTAGTTTTAAGTTAGTTCTCTATTAGTTTAGTTTAAGTCACAATGGGACTCTTATTTAAAAATAAGTGTGGGAGAGCCATGCTTCGGTATGAATGGGTCGGCTCGACCGGAGTGATACCACGGCCTCACAGAAAACCGGCGTGAAACAACCACATCGTTGTGTTTCGCCGTGTGAGTAAAGTTACCGGAGGCCCAATCCTTCCCCTCCCCGGACCCTTCCCCAATCCCCTAAATCTCCGAATCTTTAATCCCTAAAATATCGGCAACGCACTCGTAACTTCTCCGTTGCGGGTGTCCATGGGCGGCGCTGATTGCTTAACATCAGGTAATCCATCTGCTCGTTTGTCGACTTTTTATGTGATAACATAAAAAAAGTAGCTGTTTTAGTCAGAGAGCTTTTCTCAGTCACTCACGTAAGTAAATTGTAATTTTCAATAAGATTAAGTCGTAAGTTAAAAAAAAATAGAGTAACTTACTTGCGCACTTATACAGCAAATTGGTCTGTGCTATATCGCTGACACTCAATCTCACTCTCTGTCCTATCTCCGGTCTCTTCTTCCCGTGGACCTCTAAAGGCAGTATGGTGTCCAGATACGTCCCTTTACTGAATGTGTTCCTCGCATAGTGCATGATGGAGTCGTAGTCATACGTCTGTCCAAGGGAATTCACTTCTTCTTCTGTCAGCTTGTTGAAGTTGTATTCTTGACCTGCCAAAGAATATTAAAGAATGTTAATAAAACGCCCGCCAGTTGGGATTTTCTTCTGGGTCATGGGTGCATTTACAAACACATAATTTGACATACATGTCACTCTCAGATCCGGATCAACAACTTCCAAACAGTTGTTCCGTGCGGGAATCGATGATTGATCGTGGTACCTCTATCCCCAACAACCCTCAAAAGGTCGGCAATGCACTTGTAGTGCCTTAGGTATTACGGAGGTCCAATTGCTGACCACTAGGAGAAATGCTTGTATGTTAAAAAAAAATAGCTGAACCTTGTCTTCTTGCCAAGAAACTTCATGAAACAGTAAACTAGAAATACCTATAAAATAAGTAAAAATAAACACCAGTCATCCCAATCCTCTTTGCTAGACAATGTAAATGAAGTAAACACACTTTTAAAGAAAACACACGAAGAGCAAAGCAAGACATTGGCCTATTCCTCTTTAAAAAAATATTCTCCGCACAACTGATAGAATTATAATCTTCTAACTGATTGTAGACCTCTGACTAATTTAAAAGTAAAATCTTGACTAAAAAGTACAAGGTAACATGAAAACGAACTAAGGATATCAAGCAATGACGATCAAAAGATTGTACGTAAGTACATCAATATAATGAGATAGGTTTAACGGACTTGTATGAGCACGACTTGAGAACTCGAGTTAACTTTAAGCGAAGGGTTAAATAGCTACATGTATCTCAATTATTAAATATCAAGTCACTTTTGTATTAGGTATACATTATAATAAATTATCACGAACGATGTCAAGAGAGGAAATTGGATTTTTTGATGAATTCTCTCTGCGACAAAATGTATTGGATAAAAGTTTTATATTTGAAGTATTCTTGTTAAGGTGTACTTGTTGTAAGACTCCAACTCCACATTGACGCGGTTTTTTATACGAAATTAAAAATAAGTGATTATAGAGAGTTAATTGTCGTGGTGGCCCGAAGATTACGACCCGCTTTTCATACGGGTTCGAAATCTGGCAAGTAACAATGTCACTTTTTCCGAGTTATATGTACTTTCTTAGAATATTTAGATACGGTAAAAGAAAACATAGTGAGGAAACGTGGACTTATCATTTTTAATTATAAGTTTGAAATCGCCAAACCACCTTTAGCAAGCGTGGTGCTTATTGCTCAAACCTTCTCCTTATGAGAAGAGGCCTTTGCTCAGCAGTGGAAACTTATAGGCTGATGATGTATTGTATAGAGTTTATTAATTTTCTCGGTGATGTTCGACACTATTATAATTATAAACAAACAATTTGACCTTTTAAAAAGCGGAAATTTTGTGGAAATTGTAGACGTGACCGCAACGATGACAGAAATATTTTCAAACATTCCCTGAGGCTACACAAAGTTAGGCAAACCTACAACAAAGATAGAACCTAAAATTTGTGAGAGCTATGCAAAATGCGTGTTTGAGGCGCGAATGCGTTGGCTCGACCGGCGTGGTGTCTGTCCACGGCATCTGAGAATACCGGTGTAAAACAACACTCACATTGTGTTTCGCCATATGAGTGAGGTTATCAGAGGCCCAATCCTTCCCCTCATCCCCAAATCCTCCTCCTTCAATCTCTAATAACCAGAAAAAGGTCGGAAAAGCACTTGTAGAGTATCCATGTGCGGCGCCGATAAATTACCATCAGGTAATGATCACATTAAAAATATCCAATTTATTTCTAGTTACGTAACAACATTATAAGTCTGAAAAAATAATAATATGACATGGAATTCCTTCACATAAATTATTTCTATTTTTGTAGAAAAAAAAAATATTCTTAGAAACACTCGTAGTTATAACATTTATGATTGACGTTCAGCTTGAATCGTCATTTGAAGTTGTAACAGAAATACGTTTTCCTCGTAGTTATTATTCGTGCTAAGAATTTTGTGGGTGTACGAGTGTACGACAAATATTTACCGGCCCACTTATTTTAATGTATTGAACAACATTCTGACTGTATCTTTTTCGAAGTAAAAAGTAGTGTTGTATTTGTTACAGGATGTTTTATATTTTTGTGTTAATGCTATCACCACTCGTGTTAGAATCATTTGGCTAACACGTAACTATGCAACATGAAGACTTGACTAGTTCCAAACAAAGCCACGGTCCCCTAATCATTACGCACTACAACCGAAGACCATAGAAGGATGAGTATGATGATGAGGAAGACGAGACAAACTTTTAATTTTTAAGAATGGTTCAAGTTCGAATAATTTCTTTAAAAATAGGTTTTCAAATTTCTTAAATAAATTATGACGTAAAACTTAAAACAGAATTGGTTTTTGGCAAAACGTGAACTATGTATAAAGTCAACGTCTAATAATTTAGGTATTAGATACAATTAGACCTTACCGGCACTTTTAAAGATTTGAAGATAAAAAATCTCAATCTAAAATAGCAAATCCGCTTACTGTGACCTACTTTAATTGAATATCTAAGGCTATAATTCGATGGAAGCTTCGCAGCTAGTTGAATTTCAATATTGGTCATAGCGGCTTAATACTATCAGGGTACCGAGGATCTTGGCTTCAGCTGCACTAATTTTATTTTAATAGCTCTCTGCTTCCACACTGCCGTTGAGAACTCCGTGGTTTATCAGGATATTCGTGATGTAATATCAGGGTTTTTGCTTCATGGAGTAGTTTTATAGCAAAAAGTCTAAATATAAAAACGGTTGTATATTATTATTTACACCATTGAATATTGATTAATGATTAATTCGAGACTAAACAATGTTTATTAAATGTAGGTTTTAGGTCAGTTATTGAAGACATTCATGCGCAAATTTAAAAATAACGTGGCAAGTACCTATCAATGTGATTTTTTTAGTGTTATATGCTCCTTAAGATATTTACACACCCGGTGAAGGAGAATATCACAAAGATTAAATTTTTAATTATAAGTTGGAAATCAAAATATAAATTTTAAATCGCCAATCAGGCTTGGGCAAAGGTAACGATTAATGCTCAATCCTCCCCTGTCAGAAGGCTTTTGCTCAGCAGTGGATACTATGAAAGTCAGAATCATTTATTCTAACTTGATGATGATACTCGACATTCGTATTTGTGATCGATGATTGATTTGATTTGATTTGATCATCTACGCAGGTATTTGAAAACTAAGAATATACACCATGCCATTGTGTTTTTTTATAAGATAGGTAGGCAAACTAGCAGTCGGTTTACCTGATGATAAGCAACCAGCGCCACCCATGGACAGACGCAATACTAAATGGGGGTTTTGTAGGTTTTGAAGGATGCTTACTTACGCAGCGAAAAACACCGCTGTGTTGGTTTCACGCCGGTTTTCTGCGAGGCCGTGATATTAATTCGGTTAAGCCAGCAGTTTCGTGCATAAGCATAGCTCTCTCACTCTTAATGTAAACCGGTTGGTAGGTTGGCCATGGTTCACTTAGCCTCGTGCTGGTAATTGGTGCACAACTAACTATTCAGTTTCTCACAAAGAGCTACGTTAAAAATCGCTCAACTGACGGCTTAATTTTTGTGGCAACATTGTTCGAGAATTCTATTCAAGCAGCTATCGCAAACCACGCCAGCGATTCACATCGAATTTAAGACAGAACAACTTTAACTATTTGGGCAGCTTTAAACATGGGTAGCCTCATTTAAAATTGGACTTTACATCCACAACTTTATAGTGCAATTTTGTATAACTACTAGATGTTTGTCTGGCAAATTAAATCTAAACTATACGGGATTGTTTTAAAGTTCAATTTCGGTTGTAACAAGTTATTAAGTTTTGGGGTAGAATGTCTGAGATTTTGGCACGCTCACTTGGTATTTTAGTTGTCTGCGCTTCAGTTCTCTGTTGGTATAAGGACCTAATTTATCAGCAGCTAACGTTTCGTTGAGATTTGAAGACTTCTATTATGTAGTCACATTATTAATTGTCACTTAACTCCGCAGGAATGATAATGATGCCTTAATTAAAGTGCCACGTTAAATTACTTATATACATACGTATATACGTTACGTATCTATATGTTACTTTAATTCTTGCGTACATTTTTTATGTCACACTGCAGATTAGTATAATTATATTCTGACGTTGTTTATTTTCAGTATAAATAAGAATTTATTTATTTTAATTTAGTATTTTCTACCTTTTACCAACTTTTTTTAAGTTCGTAGTGTTTTGTAATTAGGTATGAGTACCTACGCCTATTGTGTCAACCAATTTCTTTGCACATTGATGTAGGTAAATAATATTGTTTGCCCATGTATGTGCACTTTGGACGTCGAGGTTATCTGTAACTAGATAATTAATGCTATTTTAAGTTATTTACTCTATATTTAGAATTTATATTCCGTCTAATAAAATAAATATGTGATTGTTATTTTTAGTAGTACAAAGCTAATGTAAGAAATACATAATATCTAAAACAGTGACTATAAACCAGTAGGACTATGGAGAAGTTGCAACACGTCTTTTATCCCCGCAATACCCTTGCGAAATGGCCGCTTTTCGCTCTTCATGTTATGAGTTTCATGGGGAAGCGACGCTTGGACTCGCAAACCCGTCCTCATGGATGGTTAGAATGTATCAATAGAGAAAAGAAAGGAAAAACTGGGCTTTTTACTAAACGCTTACGTCTTTGTTTAATTCATCCAGCAAATAGTTATACTTAGGATAAAAGTTTTAAGTGTATGATTAAAATTAATGTCTTTGCTAATGGGTTAAATATACATCCTATTAATACCCAGAAAGCGTATGAAACCTAACACACCAAGATATACAAGTTGTCTACACGTTACCTTCTAATTAGAACACCGGGGAATAGCAACAAACCCTATTATACTGCTTATTTGCGAAGTGGGGCGCATAGTTTACATTATATAATTGTGTAATGACCATGACGCCCGGCCGGGTTATACCGTGATAGTCCAGTTGATATCGCGATTACCGCGCCATTTCGAATTGTGAAATTGGACAAACGACCTATATTAAACGGTCTTAATAGCTTAAACGATTATGGACCTTATTTCGTGATTAACATGGTTAGGTTTTAAACAGGAAATAAGGGGGGTAATGGACACAATTGCTACGTACTTTCTAACAATAGTTTTGCCTTTTCCAAGTTAATCCGAAATAGTGCTTAGTTTTGTTGATTGAAATTAATTTTCGCGATTTGAATGCGCAAACTGAATAGCGTATTATTTAGTAGAGAATGATGTGTACTTATCTTGTGATGTAATGTTGATATGTGTATACCTAAACACTTTTTCATAACTATCTATAAATTAATTAATTTGAAATGGTAACACACTAATCATTCCTTATCCTATAATCTCCTCCTCATTCTTAGCCGGAGCCAGGGTAAAGCATCCAGCCAGGAGTGCGGGTGGAAGCGTGATAATATGATCCCCGGGACCTCTTCATATCAGGTGACGGAAGAGGATTGATTTTAGTCAACGAGAGATATTTTTTGTGGTTAGAAAATCATCGACTGCCTTCTTTCGCACAGTGTGCAGGAGGGAGTGGTAGACTCTAACTGCCTAAACGCCACTTCATCTGTTCCTTCTCCTAGTCTAGGCCGGGGCCGCGATGCCTCATTGCGTTTAGCCCGCAACCCCAGCTAAGTCAATGAGATTCTGACCCTCTTGTTCCACACAGAGAGAGAGGAAGTCACTTGATGTGTATGTGTCCAGTAAAAACATATAACTTGCAATACGAAACAAAATCGCTTCTTAAAAACCTGACCTACATTTTCAATCTCAACCATCATACGAAAGCGGACACGATACATCTTCCAACGCCATTTTTCCCCTCCATAACCCCCTACACGTTAACCTCATTAGTTTAAGAAATAAATCAATTCTGTATACTCAACAGATAATAATAAACAGGAAGCAAGATCATGTTTTGGTTCCGTAGTAAGCTGATTATGCGTCAGTATGCCACGGTGACGTGACGATCTCAATGTGGGACGGTGTCACTGTCACACCGAAGCGAAACAGTGTTAAGTATGAAATATTACTTAATCATTATATGTTTTGTTGTGATTGTACGTTCGGTGTGAGCGGATGGTTTGGTTGTTTGAATATTATATTTTTCTTTGGGTTTAACTATGAAGTTAGATTTTTAAATGTAAGACTTGATTTTTGAATACTCAAGTTTGAAAATGGAACCGCTTCACCTTTGAATCTCAATTTTTAGCGGCTGGTTGAATTAAAATAAATTGTCTAAACAAATGAAAATCTGATCGGGTTTTAGAAGTAGTAGTAGAACATTAATGCGTTTTTGTTATGTAATAGATCGGCAAACGAGCAGACGGATTACCTGATGGTAAGCAATCGCCGCCGCCCATGGTTACTCGCAACGAAGGAGTTACGAGTTGCCGCGTTGCCGACCTTTTAGGGATTAGGGATTTGGAGATTTAGGGATTGAGGAGGGATTGGGGGAGGGGAAGGATTGGGCCTCCGGTAACATAACTCACACGGCGAAACACAATGCTGTGGTTATTTCACGCCGGTTTCGTAATATTTTTACTTTTATCATTAGATATAAGTTTTTGTTAAGTCATATCGGATCATTTCTTTTTATTATTGAATGTCAATTATCAATATTGAAATAGCGAAGACATTTAACGAAAGAGAAGAAAAATTTTTGTTAGCGTTATATAATTTGAGTTTATTTTTTATTGACAGGACGATTTATCTATTTTTGTTAATAGATGGTTTATATTATTACACGTTAACGACTTCGTTTAGAAAACTTATTTCGACATCAAAGTCGTTGGTAAAAAAGTGCTGATCGTTTGAATGATTAACGTTTTGAAAGAACGACAAGAAAATTGGAAAGTTGTGAAAATGTTTATCAGAATTCAATCATATGAAAAAAAATGGTTTTCTTTCTATTTCTAAAGTGACGTTGGAGAAAATGTAATTTGATTTGGGAATTGGCCAGAATTTAAGTGAAAAATATTTTTTGAAATTTGTTATAAATACTAAGACTTTACTTAAGAGCAAAATAAGCCTCAGGTGAAAAGTACGTGGGCGTGCATTAATTGGATATGACGTTTTCAACTTTAATTTAGATTCTTTAAAACATTATAAATTGTTAGTATTAGTTTGGTGTATAACAAACAACGACACGATACCCGATAAAGTTCTATTTAATTACTATGAATAAATGGAATATAAATATATATATAATATATAAATATATATAATATATATAAAATATAATCGGAATAATAAACAGAAAAAAGAATCACAGCTTTAAAATTAAAGGAACGAAAATAGTAAATGCACCGATAATATTCTCATACAAAATAAATAAAATGATGGGTATGAACTTTTTGCAATTTTATATTTAATTAAGTACTACAGAAAACAAATGCTTTTATCCAACACTACTTTGAAAGACCCTTATTTTAAATTGGCAAATATTATAAATAAAATAAAACAAATAATATTTTGTCGTAAAAAACTGACTACGGTGTCATAGGAAGCTTTTTACAAAGAATCGCGGGAAGATGTTCTGGCATTGTATTCGGGTCAAGTACGCGCACATTGCGTACTCTAAGTGCGTAGTGAGTGCGTATTGTTTAGGGCTACGCACTCACACGGATTATAATCAGATACGTGTGCGTAATTGAAAGGAGATCGTAAATTAAGTAAGGTTTTATGCTTAAGATTGTTTTGTTCAATGTGACGTCTTATTTCTTGTGTCTAATTTATTTGTGTTGAAAGTAATGATACATTTTCTACCTACGTACTTATCTGACGGATACATTTCTTAATTAAATGTGATTTTGTCGCAAATTCGTTGACTAACCGGTAATCAATTACGGAAACTGTGTTTTGATTGCTAAAAAGTTGATCAATGCTAAAATCGTCGTTAATCTGAGCTAATTACATTTCTTATCGCAGCAAATCTAGGAGTCGTCATCATATCTCAGTAAAATAAAATTGAACACAAAGATGCAAGCAATTAACAACGCTCTTGAGAAAAGATTTAAAAGACAATTTGTAGATTTTTCATTGATCACCCTTTTAGAAAATATGTTTAATTCATCAAGCCCCAAGCTAACGCCGGCGTTCGCGCACCAATTATTCTTCTATTGTGTCTCGAGTTACCACGATTGTAAGGTTAATCACATAAGATCAAAACTCGGTCTCTGACAAAGTGGGTTAAATGTCTTTTCTCTGCCCACACAAATCTTAGATAAAAACATCATGCTATAAAGTGAATGACCAACTATGAACTACATAATATTATGTGTGACACATCTATCCGGCCGAGTGCGAGGATGTCAGCTAGCGACACATCGGAGGCTATCCACACAAACAGGTAACCGTGACATTGTCCTGTGCTAACTTGTACTAGCTCGAACCTACATGACTTTTAACTGTATGTTTATGCATTTTTTGTAAGATAAGGGCAAATGACCTTATGGATTACCTGATGGTAAGCAATCGGTTCCACTCACGGAGGGTGTCCAAACACTAAAAGAGTTACAATTGCGATACCGGGTTTTGGGGATTACAGTTTTGGATATTTAAGGATTTGGGAGGGATAAGGAAGAGACGGATTGGGCGTTCGGTAAACCTCACTCATACATTGAGGCACAATCAAATGCTTTGGTTGTTTTCCACCGGTTTTCTGTGAGGCTATATGGTATCACTCCAATTGGGTCGACCTCTTCGCACTTAAGCTTGGCTCTTAATTTAGACTCCACTTTATTATTATAAGTAAATATGCCTTTTTTGTGTGTTAATATGTTTTCTTTTGACTGAGTTTAGTTCCAATGTGGATTCTGTGGAAGGGGGCTAGTCTATCGGAGATTAGTTTCCTATTTTGTAATTTAAATCTTCAAAAATAAATTCACATTTTAGGAAAGACACTATCTTTGAGCTAATAGTATAAAGTGACGGATAATGGTTTAGGTAAATAAGGTTTCAATTCTAAATGTCTTTATAAAATCAATAAATAACTTACCGAGCATAATATTATCCCTGATGATCTGAACATGGCGATCTCGATCCGGTCTCGTGTGCTCGTGCCAGAACCCAACCACGTGACCCAGCTCATGGACTACAATGCCGAACTTATCACAATTCTTCCCGATGGAGATTGCTTGAGCACCACTGCCGCGCTTCCCAACGAAGGAGCAACATCTGTGAAGGAAATATTAGGTTAATTCTTCGAGATATTTTAAATGACTTGTATATGCAGTAAAAGCTGGTTCTAAGGTTTTAGTAAGATATTACAATTTTATTACATTATTACATTGTCAAATTGGCTCTGCCAAACTTACATTTTTATAACAACATACGTTTACAATAAACAACATATAATTTTACATGCACATCACACCCAGACTTGGAAAACCTACAATCTGGATCACACCAAGATGTTGTTTTGTGCGGGAATGGAACCCAACACGCACAAAACAACATCTTGCAAAGCAGCCGGTTACCCAACCACTGTGTTAACTGTGAAGTCGAGTGTCTTTAATTAAGAAATGTGTTTCAATTAATAAGTTTGGCGTTAAGAACGCCTTCAAATATATGACAGTAGGGACTATTATCATTTTCAAAGATTGTATGGTTTTGTTAAGTAAACCATTTACACTTATTAATTAAAATACAAGTCATTTCTATATTTTACTTCTGATATCATAGTTTCATTGTATGATGCTATTCGATATTTATTTCAATCAAAGGAATAAAAAGATTACATAATATCCTGATACCCTGACTGGCGATGACAACATAGGAAGGTGTTGAGTTGTTAGGGCTGTGGTATACCTACTCAGTCATCAGTAACATGATTTCATAGCTAAAACTAAGACCATTTCCAAATTTTTGTATGTTTTCTGTGATTATTGTTAAATATGTGTTATTTTTATTAAAATAACTCTTATTTTTCTTTTATTTAATTTTGCAAACGTGCCTCCTCCCTCCCCTCGCATAGGCTTTTTTTGTGTCGTGTGTGCGTGCGTTTACAAACATACAATTTTATATTCAAATCACACCCACAGCCGGAACAACTACTTGTGGTAGCACAAAAGGTATTTCAGTGCGGTAGCCACGTTGCACTGTGCACAGCAGTCCATAGACCGGCCACTACGCTAACCTCGTAGTTATAATTTTCAAAATCCAAGTTTTGAATTATTGTTACTACACAATCAACAAAATGTTTCACAGTTAAGGTCTCTTGTAGGTATGTAAGGTCTCTTGTACCTACAATTCTTTACGTTATATTCTAAGAAGGTCTGGCACAAAATTTAAAATCTAATTGAATTCATGCTCAAAAGAGGTTATGAATAATCATAAGAATAGTGTCAAAAAACATTTTACCAAAATCAAGGCATGGCTTAACCTCAAAATACAACCTTATTAACTTGAAATTCAGTTTAAAATTGCAAATAAGACTTACCCACAAGGACGTTCAGTAAAAACAATGTAATCTTTATGTAGATCAGCGTCTCTTTCTACGAATTTCACGCAAGTGAAGTTTTCCCAATGTCTCATAGCTTGTTTGAACAAGGACTTGTGGGCCCCGCTGAAGTTACCATCGATCTCGTAGGGAATCACGCCGTTCTCCCAAATTCTTTCCTTCCTGTTCGTCGCTGCACGTATTGAGCGATGACGTTTTTTTGCCTGCAGGAAATTGTGATCTCTTTGTACATTGCTTAGAATTCACAGTTCTATTCAGTAGGAAAAAATAAGGGCTTTTTTAAAGGTTCTTCCTCATATAAGTATTTTTTATGTAATAGATCGGCAAACGAGCAGACGGATTACCTAGTGGCATGCAATTGGCGCCGCCCATGAACACAGGCAACGGCGGAGTTACGAGTGCGTTGCCAAAGGGGTAAGGGGTTTTGGAGATTTAGGGATTGGGGAGGGATCGGGGGAGAAAAAAGATTGGGCCTCCTGTAACCTCACTCACACGGCGAAACACAACGCTGTGGTTGTTTAACGCTGGTTTTCTGTGAGGCCGTGGTATCACTCCGGTCGAGCATGCCCACAATTATTTATTATGTATTAAGGGATTTGAAGTCTATACTTTCGGTTTTTGAGACCGTCTTAAGTTATAAGTTTAAATCCCAATGCAAAAAATTTAAGGATGTAAAATTACACCTATAAACGGTTAACAGTTATATAACAAAAAATGGTTTTATTTTGATTTACCAAAATAAAACAGCAATTGCTTTAAAATGTCTTAATTATTAAATCAAAGGGACAATAGTAAAACTCAGTGTAGAATAGACTATTCGCGGCTAACAAACAAACATATTGTAATGATTTACTTACTAATAATTTTCTATTTTTGGAGCAAAGTGTCTATCCAGAATTAATCGTCTATTTCCTACCAAACGTCTACATCAATTAGTGAAGTGAATGTTTCGAACTTATTAACAGGCCTATAAATAAACACAATCCTACTTGAGATATCTAAATAGATATGAAATGAAAGGCTTATAGAAATTGAGAAACTATTTTAATCCTTTTCCCCTTCATTATAATTAAGCTATATATTTTTCATTAGTTGTTTGTTATAATATGTTCTTGTTTACTAGGGATTTACGGTGTAATTTTAGTTTAAGGCTTCCTTCGAAATAAATAAATATAAGTACCTATATGGCTGATTAGGCATGATGCTTTTTGAGCATCTAACAAGCATTTCAAGTGTGGCAGAATTATGGAACAGGTCTTTTCGACTGGGTTTTAACCGAGGTCTCAAAAAAACCGGCGTAAAACAATCAGCGGTGTGTTTCGCCGTATGAATAAGGTCACTGGAGGCCCAAGGCTTCCCTGCCTAACCCTTAAATCTCCAAAATCCTGAACCCTAAGGTCAGCAATGCGCTCTTAACTCCCCAGGTGTTGGGGGTGTATACGAGCGGAGCCGATTACATACCGTCAGGTAATTCGTAAAAATATAAAGATTAAAAAAAAACATCTCTAGAACATTTTTTGTCCGTGTATGAAATTGTATCAACTGCGAATAAAGTAGGAATATTTGTAATCAACTAAATGTTTTCGGGAACCGCACATTTCTATAACCCGTTAATATGTCGATGGTTCCAATGAGAATACCTTAAAGCTACCCAATCATCGGATTAACATAATTGCCAGTAATTGATTTAATCGCTGACTAGGCGGTAACAAAGCGAAAATTGGAATATCTTTGTCATCTACATGCAGTTTAATTATATCGGCGAGATAAATGATGGTGGTTGGAGAGCCGACGCCAATTCGTGCCTTCCGTGAGATTCTCGATTTGAAATTTGAATATATATATATCGATTTGAAATTTGTATTTGTTTTTAGTTCTTTAGTTAAATAATGTTTTTTTTTAATACAGATACGCTAAATGCCATTTACAAATAAACAGGAACGTATAGACCTAGTTGTAAATGAGGATGTTATATATATTTTTAAGGAACTAATAATTACGATTAGTAGATGTGTGTCAAGTGCTAATTAATTTGGTAATGAAAATGTTTAATAATTTTCTGTATTGGTTTGACTCAAATGGATATTAAGCGTGGTAAGCGCCCTAGGCAAGCACCTCGCAGGGTAATCTGTAACCACGTTTCCCTTGTATTTTGCAGTCATTAGTGACCCTTTACAACCTAGCGCCCAAGTCTAGTTGTATTTAGTTGTAATAAGGTTCTGGTTTGACCACAGTGATATTTATTGATCTCACAAACACAGTCAGATAATGATATAAATAATTACAGTTCCTTACCTCAGTTCCATTATAGTAATTACTTTCAACCGCTTCTAAGTCATCAGTGTCGTTTCGAAAAAACCAATTGTCAAAATTTTGCGTTTCTGTTTCATTCAAAATATTTTTTGGTGGCGGTTTCACTTCGAACCTCTCTTCGAACTCATGTTCAGGAATTTCGAACTTCTTTTCAGTTCTAAGTTCTCCACTGTTGTGCTTCTTGTGGTGACGAAAAAACTTTTTCCTTACAAATTGGGATGTCGTTTTATTTTCAGAAGAGTCAAACGTATTCTGTCCTGCTCTCTCGCTTGAGTGGATATTTCTAAGCCTGAAATGAAAATTATTTTTAATACTTCGTTAGTGGACTATCTATTTTTGCAATTGCTGGACTGGGTGGCTAGGATGGCTGGCTGGTTTTGGATTTAATATTTACAAAAAGGATTTTTTTAATTTATTGATTAAAATTCTCGACAGGGCCGATCCATCGTTCAAAGCCTGCATCTGTCAAAATTGTGTTTCTAATTTCTTTTGAATTAAGATACAAAAAGCATAGATAGTATAAAATACTAGATTCATAAAGTAATCAATTACAAGCTCATTATAGTTAATTTGAAGGAAAGCAAATAAATGAGGCAAGGAGATCGTAAGGAGAGAGTAAGGAGACTCGTTTCAATAAAGTTAATGAATGGACCTACTAAGGCTATGCAGATTCCGAATCTAAATGCACTGCGTTTCTTAGTGCACTCTCTGTGATTTTAGTCTAGAAGCTAGGTTTTGTGAAATACTTTCAATTGACTTTGTGCATAATGCAAGATTTGAGTGATTGGGTTTAGAATGTAGACTAAGTAGATTGTGAGGATGTAGACTAGACTAGAAGTAGAATATAAATACATATGTACGCATGTTGAGGGGGCTCTTTTAAGACCCAGTTTTAAGAAATTATTTGTATGTGTCTGTACTGCAGACGTAGGTAAGTATGTCGGTTCTGTATTAACGAAATTATTGTAATTTGAATATAACATTAACTGTCTGACATTTGGGAATCAATCCTCATGCCAAACCAATTATTCGGTATAGACGTGAATGAAATAAACAAAGAATATGATTGATTTAATGTAAGACATGTATATTGACCCTTATGGATGTGTTGTTGACGTCAGCAGCTGACTATGTTTTTTAATATGAAAATGGTACAAGAGATTTGTAACGATTACAAATTTTGAAAACAAAATATTGTTTTAACAACAGCAGCTATGAGTGTCTTTTTATTTTCCTCCATTGACATACCCTTTCAAACAATGACGTTTTGATAAACTGTGTGTTCAAATGCTTTTGTTTTATTTTCCACTAAAAAAAAACGCTGTTTACCTTCATTCCACCTTCGTTTTATTGGTATTTATTTCTAAACTACATACAAATATAAAGACGCTTGAATCTTGAATCTAAATTCCACGCATACGAAGTCGCGGATAGCTTTATCCGCAGACAATAAAGAAGATTGTACAAAGGTAGCTTCATTGACAAACGTTGGAAGCAAAACTTTGAAACTTGCAAAACAGAGGAAACGCTAAAAAATGAACGAAATTTAAATGGCAGCATAACTTTTGGAGATTCAGATTTTATAGGAAAGGAGGAGACATAGTTGGCGCAATTACAGTACGGGGCTTATTCACAGGATTCAATAGACTCCATCCTTAGCTCGATGGCGAGGTAAAAAGTGCGCAGTGAACAGACGCTAATGATTCTTTATTAAGACACGAAGGATGCTTTGATAATCGAGCGAACTTTAGGATGAAGTTCGCGTTAGGTTTTCGACCTTTTATCATGGTTCGTAATATTAGATTATTTATAGTTCCATTTACGCGGTAGTATATTGAGAAGCTGCTTCGTAACGTCTTGTGGGATTGATTGATTCCCACTCGGAACAACACTTCTTACGATCATCAAATTATTATTCCGCATCAGGTGTCACGTGCATTTGTATGTATGTTTGTGAAGGCCCCTACGATACAAGAGAATACCTAAAAATAGGAATATAATTACTTAGAAAAAATAATTTGAAATTGAAAATGGACTGATTGATTATTCTTCTTTTGTTTTTAATTTTTAGGACTTAGTTTGGTCGAGAAGTTAACTAGTATAGTAAGGAATAATATTGTTTGTTGATTTTTAAATAATTTCAAAATGGAAGTACGTCGTTAAATTATTAATGATAAAATGGCAACAAAGTGTCACTCAAAAGTTAGGATAAATCCAGAAAAAAGTGCCGACTTGTTGACATCAAAACCTTTTATTGTTGAAAATGAAATAATAGGAATAAATTGTTTGTGACATCAGGAACAAGGAAGATGGGAGCAAATCCAATTGTTTCGTAATTCGATTTAGGAAGGAGAATATAGATATAAATCACGAATCAATGGTCTTAGTTTATTGGGATACAGCTGCCGATTCATTGAAGGTAAATAAGGTAAGTATAACACGCATAAAACGATGTGTCTGCATGTATTTTGTATGGTTCCTACCATACAAAATTGCAAAAAATACAATCATGCATTCTTCGTTGCTTGTGTATATTCATTGTGTAGTTTTTTTTTATATATTACTTTTTTATTTATTTATTTGGACGTAGTCATAGGCATTCTTAACAGTCAATCTTAGGGTGATGAAGAGAGACTATGGTAGGGAGAGAAACTATTTTTACAGTGGCGTACCTATTTTGTTTATACTAATTATATTTTATTCCACCCATTTAATGCAAAAAAACTGGTTATTTAACTATTTAAATATCTACCATTTAAAAACTGGCTAATAGTCTGCCCTTTAGTAGAATAAATGTGTGCTATTGTGTTACCAGCCTCCCATACTAAAAAAGGATTCAAAAGAAAAATAAAGTTCTTTTTATTTCTAAACCTAAGGCCATAAAGAGATGTAGAGAGCTCGTTAAGAGGGAATTTAATTATACAGCATTTAATAAATAAGAATTTTATTCCATCTCCCTAGATTTTTCATTCCGTTGCACTCTTAAGATAAATTAAAGTGAGCAAGAATTGTGAGAATTGTATCTTATGTATATTAATAAACGTGATGTAGGAATTTATGAAAGAAATATTCTCCTTAACAGTGTTCATAATTATAAACTAAAGTGGGTTAGTTCTTTCGAGGTAGGTAAAAGCTGAGAGAGTAGTTAAGGTTCTGGTAAGATAGATTGGAAAATAGTTTTAAAAGAATTGGGTAAAGAAGAATGGAAGTTAAAGTCATACCGTCTTCCATTACCGTGTCTCCTTCTCCTCCGTCGGTAACGTCTACCTCCAGTCTCATCCATCAGATTCTGCAGGCTCTCCGTCGGTCTCAACAAGTTAGGTTCTGACAACTTTCCATCTTCTAAATCTGTTTTGTTTATTATCTTCTCTTCATCCTGCTCACTCGATGGCAAAACTCCATTAGTGGGAGCAGGAGCCACGGTGATGTTATCAGGCAGACCCTTGAACTTGATGTTATTTTTAGAATCTCCTGTAATCTCCCTACTGTTGCTCTGAATCTTATTAGTGATCTCATCCATTTTGTTAGAGACATTAGTGATTTGTAGATTAGGGTAGAACTCGTCTAAATTGAGTATGTGGTTCGTTGATACGTTTACGACTAATACGCCGTCTTGTTCCAAACTCTCCGATTCGGTCAGGTTATCCTGTACCGTTGTTTGATTGAAGTGCTCCGATTTCGTTTGATTAAACGAATTAGTGTAATTATCTAACATTTCATCTGGAGGTAATTTGCCGTTTTTTAACAACAGCGATTTATCTAAGCCTGGAGGCAAAGCCTGAAATAGAAAAGGTCCATTAAATAAAGTGTTTCAGTAAAACTGACAACAGACTGACTAGTACTAATACAACCTTTCAAGTAAATTGTTTATCTAAAACAACCAATCGCTAGATGGCGAGGATGGCAGGTAGACACGGTTCAATATAAAAGCAGAAAATAAATTGCCAATGTACGTACAAACACTTTATCAAAAAATTAAGGCTGTGTTGGCATCCATATTTCTCGACATTTTGAATATTAGAATTTCTTATGAAATTCGTCAGCAACAGGTGGTGATCGAAGTTAGTGCCTGCGTAAGACAAGCCATAGCTTTCATAATATTTTTGATGGCGCAAACTTTTAGAGGATCTGCCAAAAATAATTTGATGGACTTCACAGAATTATTAGGGATTTTAGAAGTTACATGAATTTTCAAGTTTCAGCGAATCTTAAGTAATTATTAATGTACTATATTTTGATAATTTCATAGATTTTGTAGCACTTTGCTTTTGCCTACATAGGTTAGAGCGTATATCGCCTTAAAATATGGTCACAGGCGTAACGTAACACAAATATTTGCACACATACTTTCTATTCTTCTTTTTCCTACCTTCGTCATCAGCACAGCTTCATTGTATTTCTTTGGCTTCTCTTGCGACAACGGCAAAGGTTGTTTGGTCCTCTTCCTCAATATATCAGGCAGGCCCTCTTCTTCAACCTGAAGTCCCTCTAATAGCACCTCTTTCTTCAGCCTCTCTACCTCTTCTTGAAGTGACTTGTTTATCTTGTTGACTGGGGCACTAGTTGGTGGTTTGAAGTAGTCAACGTTTGGTATCGCAATATCTCCTTGGAAATTATCTGTAAGGAAAGAATTGGGTTCGATTAAAATTTTTTTGAATTGATATTATTAGGTGTGTAGCTATCGTGGAAAATTCGTTTGTTTTTTTTCGTAACGGGATTAACATTAAATGACTTCTCTCACCCAGGGTGAGACGAGAGGGAGAGACAGACTCTTGCCGACTAAAAACCCTCCGTTTCATAAGGTCTTTGTTTCGACATTTTTTTATTTTTAACGTATAACATTATGACATAATATTATGTAATACAATTGCGGAAGCAGCAGTTTAATATAAAAATCCCTTAAATTAATAAAGAGAGGAAACTTAGAATTTCAGTATACATGTTAGTAATGTTATTATTTAATTAAAATGAAAACAGAGTATGACTCAACGCTACGCATAATAAAAACAAGTAATAAGCCCAAGGTTATAAAAATAATGATTTGATAATAATAAATAAATAATTGTTCTATCGTTGAAATAACAATTCTCTGGGAGATAAATATTATAATCCACAAAATATTCTACTAATAATCTAAACGCGAATGTTTGTAAGTAACGATGGTTGTATGTTTATTATTCTATCACATAAAAACTACTGAACAGATCTGAATAAATTTTGGCTTGACATTACATAAGCTACTTTTTTGTCGCTGACCGAAGTTAAGTATTTTAATGTATCATATAATTTATATGGAGTAAATTTTTATTTTAAAAGTTTCACGTTGTAATGATGTGCTCAGACCAAGACGTAAAGGTTTATTTTTTGAAATAGACTTTCAACTCAACCCTAATGCATATTTTTTTAAGTGTTTGTGAATTGGGTACTATGAGCAAGGCAAATTGCAAGTTTCGTATAAAAGTTAAGGCCTTTGTTTAAAACGTGATTTATTGGGAGCGATATTATGATGATGGTAACAGTTAAGTTTAAGAAACAAATATTAAAAGTTATTTGTATTGATAATGTAATAAAATGATGCATTCATCAAATATTTCAGTGCATTGATTATTTTGTTTTAAATCTGACTTTAAACTGTATGCAGTACCTTCATATTTTGTTAAGGTCTACAAAAAACGAGGAAATGGATGGAAAATCTCTTTTAAAATATTTTTTTTTGAAATTTGTTATTTGAGCCGAGTTATTGTGTTTTTGCCGCGTTATCATTCCAGTCGCCATTTTGATTTTAAACCTCGGGTCACTATTGAGAATATCGAAAGTCAACAATGGAATTTCACGGACTGAGAATTAAAAATGAACAGGACTTGTAATTCGATCTAAAACATATATCAAGCCAATTAATCCAGCACATCTAACCAAATTAATGCACTACATCAATTGTTCACTAAATCTACATTAGGTATACACTAAGCCTACACTAGATATATCTGTCTCAACAGCCAATGAGCATCGAGATTGCATCAAAACCAATACGTTATAATACAAGTACATTTGACAGCTATTAAGTTAGGTTCCTAGTTGCTAGTTCACCGCAATGCGACTCTCCGTTGCTATCCAATTACGGAATACCATTTTTTATCGTTCCAGCTTGCATAATCTACATAGATTTTAAATTAAGAGTTTTTTAAATGTACTCTGTATATCTTTTTGAACTGGGAAATATTGTGTAATAGATAGGTGGATTTATTTAGGAGGTTATTTTTCTTTTTAAGTTTATATTTGTTTTAAATCGTTCATAAACTAAATTCCTTTGTAACTACAAGATCTACAGGGTCACAGTATTTATAATATGAGAGTCATGAGACAAAGGCTTAGTTTATGTGATAATGCAAAGAAAAAGTGAACTTCATACTTTAGCAATCCTTTCATCAGATTGAAACAATGCTTAGTTCAAAATGCAATTTCCTCAACACAAAATAAATCACAATGCATCCTAACACACGTCATCATCGTTCCAAATTCAAATTTAGCGGAACGCGTCACCGATTGCATGCGGCCATTAACAACAGCGTACATCTGCCGCGATCATAAAATTTAATCGCCGACCCGTGTCTATGTCCCAGATGTTGCCTAACGCTGGCTGGCAATTAATTAATTGCGTATGTATGCTTACACGGCGCGTATTGGACATGACGGTTTACGATAGTACCGCCGCATGAATATTCATGGTGTGGCCATGTTTGAGGATTGAATTTGATTATGGCGCCCGACTTAGGTTTCGCGTAGGTTGTTCAAATCAGCTGTTAATTTAATTAACGTTTGTCATGGATTTAATATTGTTTTAATTTGTGTTTATTGAGTTTGTTAGTTGTTGCGTAACTTAGTTATTTGTTAAGTGGGATAGTAGTGTTGAATTAATAGCGGGGCAAGTCAGAACAATTATTCTTTAATTAACATTTTTTTTTGTGTCAGAATCGCTGTATTTTACTATTTCTATTGAACAGTGAAATGTTAGGGTTTGCTGATAAATCAAATTATAGATTTTCATGTGACAACTTTTTTTGGGGAGGAAAATCATTTATTGTCTTCTATCGCCTAAAACATGGCGAGTTCTGTACTACACGATACATAAAATTGATTTATAGCAAAATTCAATAACATGAATATAGTTTTTTACAAACTAAATGATTAAAACGATGTAGATTGTAGAACATCGCACCACCATAAATGGTAGAACAACTCGCTACGTAGCCGCTACGCAAACACTTCGTAGCGCACTCGACTTGAGTTTGGTTAGTGCTACGCCAACTACGCTCGTAGCGCATAGGCCGTATTGAAGAATACTACTGTTATAACTAGATAGTTACAAAAAACCTTATTTCAGGTAGATACATGATATAATGATTTATATCATTGCGCATATTGTTTGACTGTAAGCTTACCATATGTATGAGGATGACACAGAAATCATTGGACTTTCTTAAAGTTAAGACTTATGTCTAAAGGAGTTTACGTAGATTTCTTCGCTTTATTTACATATATTATTATTTTCTTAAGTTTCGATAAACTAACCTAAAAAAAGAAAAAAGAAAAAGAGGTGTTATATTTACTCCCGAAATTATAAAACGTTTAGATTAAAGTAGTCGATTTTTAAACTAGACAAAAACGCTGATTTCGGAGTTTCTGCATAATCGATACCTTTTTTCTTTTTAGGGTTAAATCAGGAGGTATATGAGACCGATCACTGTCAAAACTCTAACGTCCGTTGATATGATACTGTGGATGTATGAGCTAATTTCCTATTGGACAGAAAAACGAGAGGGCCACACTGGCTCCATCTGGCGGGCAAAATAAGATGCCGTCTATACTCACACTGAAGCGAATAACATTTATTAAATTGTAATCTCATTGCTGTAATGTAAAATGCTGCATTATTTAATCGGCAAGCCGCATTGCATGTTTCAATCGATTATTTACCCTAGATGTTCCTGATACTTGATCAGGTGGCTTTGTGAAGGCAAATTAAATACGCAATACAATCTTGGATTTTAAACTAATTTATGCTTAGTTTTTAATGACGTCAACTCATTCAACATCCGTATGTTGAATATGAAACAGCATTTGTGCAACTTGCCTTTCTTTTTAAAATTGGAGGAGATTCTCATGTAAACGCCTATATCCTATTAATAATAATAACACCTTTTTTATTTATTCTTAGGATAGCTTACAGACTAATGATACATTTTAATAACTTAATAAAATACTACACTTTCAAACCACAAGCTTCCACCTTTATAGTTGAATAGTTATAATTCTTTCCAGTAGATACTACTAAACAGATCTGAATTAATTTTGGCACAAATATATTTAGATTGAAGTTCAGGATAACACATAGACAACTTTTAATTTGGTACTGCTGGAGAACCCACTGGCAGAAAGTAGTATATTTATAAACCAAAATATTTTGTATCTAATAAATTGATTTAGTACAGGTTTAGTAACTGTCACTAACTGGAAAAATAAGGAGTTCTCGCCAAAAACCTCCACAAAAACAATAAAAATTAGTGAAGTACTCATAGGTACATATAAATATATCCCTTAATAGTCCTAGCAATTAATATTAAGAAAAGAGTGGTCACTCTATTTGTTAAATAATCGTGTACAAGTAATAAAAAAATTACATAAAAATATTGGTTTATTTTATTGTCATGCTATCGCTTTCATATCATTCGCTGTTCCTGGCCGCAATTCAAGCCACTATATTTTTCCTATTCCAATTTTAAAATATTTCAATATGACGGATATTTATTTCGAATAGCCGTGGAATCGGTACAAGATCCTTGACGGTTCAAGGGTTGGCACGAGTTGAAAATTTTATTTATTTATTTTTATATTAAAATATGTTCTACTTCGTTTAGTTATCTAAATAACATAAAAAGCGATTGTTATTTGTGCTGAGCCGTTCACCAGTCCATGCCTAAAAAAGATTTTTCTGTGTAAAATACGCTCAAATAGTTCTACTTTATAAAGGAGAGTGGCATAAAGAGGAGTTCAAACAAAATTAAAGAAAAGGGTAAAGGTTTTATTGTCAAAACTTTTGAGCTAGGGCTAAAATGGATCTTGATTGAATAGAACATTTAAGAATTGTACCTTTACCTTTTGAGAATCAAACAATTCAAATTCTTTTTTTTTCTAAATTTAAATAAAAATTACAATAGACTCTACCACGCAATTAGTAATTTATTTGAGTAAGTAATTTTAAATGAATGGTTTTCAAGAAAACCATTTGTGATTTTTTGATTATTTCGTTTTTGAAAGCGATTTAAAAGATTTTTGAACACTTAATAGATATTCAAATCTCCACTTACCACTTTCAAACATTCCTTTTTTTGGCTGACTGAACAAAATTGCTTAAAAAATTAATTGAATTGAGCATAAACGCGTAAAATTCTAATAAATAAAGAGATAACGTTCAGTACCCAGTGGGAGTAGAAACCTTAGTTTTTTTTTTAAAACACAATAAAGGACAATTTAAATCCTACTAATTTATACAAGACTAAAATACTACAGGATACAGGACTACGGATTTATCTTTTTTTACTCACTCAGACATTTTCTAA